GAAATTTGGAGAAGGAATGAGGAGCCAAATGTTAATCACCAAGACAGTGGGAAAAATGTCTCTAAGGCATGTCAGAGATCTTCAAGGCAGTCCTTCCCATCACAGTCCTGGAGGCCTGGGAGGGAAAACTGGTTTCCTGGCCCAGGCCCAGGGCCCCCCTGCTCTACACAGCCTTGGGGACATGGAGCCCTGCATCCCAGCTGCTTCAGCTCTAGCCATGGCTAAAGGGGGCCAAGGTACAGCTTAGGCCATAACTTCAGAAGGTGCAAGCCCCAAGCCTTGGGAGCTTACATGTGGTGTTGAGTCTGTGGGTACCCAGAAGTCAAGAATTCACATTTGGGAACCTCCACCTAGATTTCAGAGGATGTATGGAAATGCCTGGACGTCCAGGCAAAAGTTTGCTGCAGGGGCAGAACCCTCGTGGAGAACTGCTGCCAAGGCAGTGCAGAAGGGAGATGTTGGGTTGGAGTCCCTACGGGGACACTGCCTAGTGGAGCTATGAGAAGAGGGCCATTGTCCTTCAGACCCTAGAGTGGTAGATCCACTGACACCTGGCACTGTGTGCCTGGAAAGGCTGCAGACAGTCAACACCAGCCTGTGGAAGCAGCCAGGAGGGGGACTGTACCCTGCAAAGCCACAGGTACAGAGCTACCCAAGGCTGTGGGAGCCCACCTCTTGTATCAGCATGACCTGGTTGTGAGACATGGAGTCAAAGAAGATCATTTTAGAACTTTAAGATTTGGTTAGGCCAGGCGCAGTGGCTCATGTCTGTAATCCCAGCACTCTGGGAGGCTGAGGCAGGTGGATCCCTTGAGGTCAGGAGTTTGAGACCAGTGGCCAACATGGTGAAACCCCTTCTCTACTAAAAGTATAAAAATTAGCTGGACATGGTGGCATTGACCTGTAATCCCAGCTACTTGGGAGCCTGAGGCAGGAGAATCGCTTAAACCCAGGAGGTGGAGGCTGTAGTGAGCTGAGATCGTACTGCTACACTGCAGCCTGGGTGACAAAGTGAGACTCCATTGCAAAAAAGAAAAAAAAGATGACTTCTCTGTTGGGTTTCGGACTTGCATGGGGCCTGTAGCCACCCCCCGTTTTGGCAAATTTCTCCCATTTGGGATGGCAGCATTTGCCCAATGCCTGTACCCCCATTGTTTCTGGGAAGTAACTAACTTGCTTTGATTTTGCAGGCTCATAGGCTGGAGAGACTTGCCTTGTCTCAGATGAGGCCTTGGTCTTGGACTTTTGGGTAAATGTTGGAATGAGTTAAGACTTTGGGGGACTGTTGGAAAGGCATGATTGTATTTTTGGAATGTGAGGACATGAGATTTGGGAGGAGCTGGGGATGGAATGATATGGTTTGGCTGGGTCCCCACCCAAATCTCATCTTGAATTGTAGTTCCCATAATCCCCATGTGTTGTGGGAGGCACCTGTCGGGGAGTAATTGAATCATGAGGGTGGCAACCCCCATGCTGCTGTTGTTGTGATAGTGAGTTCTCATGAGATCCGATGGTTTTATAAGGAACTTCCCCCCTTTGCTTGACATTTCTCTCTCCTGCCGCCCTGTGAAGATATGCCTTCTGCCATGACCATAAGTTTCCTGAGGCCTCCCTAGCCATACAGAACTGTGAATCAATTAGACCTCTTCTTTATAAATTACCCAGTCTTGGATATTTCTTCATAGCAGCATGAGAAGAGACTAATACATTTAGCTCTTCCTGAGATGTGTTGGAGGGGAAAATAGACTACATCCTCAAGCAGGTGCATGCTAATGTTGGCAACTCTGGCTTTCCTCTTTGGCTCTCTACAGAAGTAAGTGACTGAATTATCTCTTGTAGCATACTTAATTCCTTTTCTCTGCTTCCCTTCCCTTCCTGTTTTTTCTTGGTAGTGGAGGGAATACCATGTGGTAGATAGAGTCACCTTAACTTGTTTCTTTTAGACAGTGTTTCTAAGATTTTTTTTTTTCCATTAAGGAAATAAATACCCCTTGGCATGCTTTCTTTTATACTAGAGAAATTTTACTTTGTTTATGTTATCATTGTTAGTAAAAATAAGTTTTTTTGAATGATTCATTTAATCAATAAATATTGATGGGTGGCTACAGATATGAGTCAGATACATGGCATACAACCAAAATACAGGTGTCATATAGTAGGGCCCTTATAAAGGAGAGTCAATGGAATGAAGAGGCTTTTTTTTTTTTTTTTTTTGACCCTGTGGAGCATGGAAGTTTCCATGGATGTTGAGGTGTTTGAGCTGAGCCTTGAAAAATGGTTAGCAGAGAGATATGTGGGAGGGGGAGTAGAACATACACAAAGATAGGAAAGCTTGGAGTGCTGATGGACCTTTTTAAAAAAAATCCAAACAGTAGAAGATGGTACAAGAAAAAAGTGGGGAAAAGGGCAAGGAGCTAAGATTGCCATATCCCTGAACTCTATGGGAATATATTTTCTGAATCTTTTTTGTTTTGCAACTCATTTGTTGTGGACTCTCTCTATATAAAAACTTAATCCAATCATCTTCACTTTAAGTGTCAGTGTAGGTTTGGCTGCCTTTTTGATATTCTAGGGCTGGGTAAGAGGAGATTGTGGGAACAATTTCTGTGCCTGATACTTCTGTAAAACAGAACCTGTATATGTGTGACACTGTGATTTAACCAGGATCACCTAGCTTTTAAACTCAATATAAAGCACATGGCTATCTGAAAACCCTAGCCTGTCATTCAGCTACCTCTACAAAACAATAGTAATAATAGTAATGATAAACTTACAGACTCCAGAATACCAATATTGTTGTGCTTACCGAGTAGACAAGGTGGATTGGGGTTTTGTGAGTACAGTCTCAATGCTTCAGATGTTGCTGTTACAATTTTCAGTCTAATGTTCAAGGTATCTATGCCATTTATTATTTTCTACCTCCTATGAGGCGACAGATAAGTCAAGCCATGCTAACAGGTTAAATGGCCATAGTGGAAAATAACCTAGAGTTTAAACCCAAGGGAGAAGTTCATGGAGTCCCCAAGTTGTATGTTACACCATTGATTTAATATCTGTTTTATACCACCTGAAATGCCCCATCCATTGCAAGAAGCAGCACATTTTCCAAAGTGTTACAAATGAAAATAAAGCCTGTCACAGAATCAAGGACAAAGGGGAATTATTGTATCCTAGGGATGAGATCAAGGTCATAGACTAGACTAAAATATCAAGAAGTCAAAAAACCAAGCCAAGGATTTAGGCTGGACAGAAAGATGAAGCAGGAATTGAGGTGTTTGGGTACAGGTGGGAATTGGGGGCTTGGAATTGGAAGGTTGGAATTAGGTTGTCCTTCAGGGATTGAATTGAGCATAATACACCCTGCAAGACAAGTTAGATGAGGATGCTATGACCAAGGTTCATCCAGCAAAATCATGAGTGTGAGGTCCTGAAAAGCTTTGTCTATCTTTGTTCAGGTTTGGAGTAGTGTCTCTGTGGCCCTTCACTGATTGGTCAGAGGAAGGAAGCAGGTGGGGCACCACCCACTCTGCAGCAGGATTTCTGAGGTTGGTGGTCAGGTCCTTTGTGATACTTTTGCAGGTCTAGCTGTTGTTTGCAGTCCATGGCCTTACACAATTTCAGGCTCACTGTACAGTCTTATATAGCGTTGCTTCGTTCCCTTGTTATTCCAACACTAAATCTCTGATATTACTGAGGAACAATATTAAATCTTTTAGGGCACCTACATTTTTATAGAGCCTGATTCTAAAGGTATATTATTTTTGTTGAACTTAGAAATAAATTAATGGCATCTGTTGTATATCTCTGCTTAATGTTTATTTATGTTATTTATTTATTTATTTATTTTTGAGTTGGAGTCTCACTCTGTCTCCCAGGCTGGAGTGTGGTGGCACGGTTTCAGCTCACTGCAGCCTTCACCTCCAGTGTTTAAGCAATTCTTCTAACTAAGCCTCCTTAGTAGCTGGGATTACAGATGGGCGCAACCACACCCAGCTGATTTTTGTATGTTTAGTAGATAAAATGTTGGCCAGGCTAGCCTCAAACTCCTGAGATGTTTATTTCTTAAAAAACAAGACCATGTAAATTAAAAAAAAAAAGACATGATACCATGGGCACAAAATAATATTATGCAAAAAATGACTTGTGTTTTATTTATTATTAGGTAAGTAAACCTAGCACGATATCTGGTACTCAGTAGATGCTCAATATATTTTGGTTCAATTGAACAGGGTATTTGTATTATTTAAAGCATTATCTTTTAAACATGATTTTTGTGTGTGCTGTTTGTCCTAAGTCACAATGGTTAGAAATAATAGTATTTATTTTAGCAAAACCATTTAGGAATTAAGCCTAATATTTCTAATGCTATAGCTGACATTTTGGTATTACAAACCTCATAAACTTTCACTGGTATCCTCGAATCCATAAAATGTTTTTCTCATCCATGGGCAAAATATTTAGAAGTGGTCATTGTAAGTTCAAAGTGTATAGCTAAAAATATGAGCTCACTAACCAAATGGGGAACAGACATAATATAAATCAATAAGTGTGTTTCTTTTTTATAAAACATTCGGAGACAAAAATTTTTTGTGAAATTTTGCGAATGTCCAGGAAGAGTTTTAAAATGCACATACTGCAATAGCACACCGAGTGACTTCTTTCTGATTCAATTTCATAAATTGCTACATGAAAAAGTACCCTCTAGTAGATAATACTCAGAAATCAGCACTTAATATGGCAGTAATGGTTATTGCTGTCATTCTTTACATCTTTAAAAATAATTAAGCATTACTGCACAGGCATTATAAAGTTCCCCTATCACCATTAAGAGGATATTTGAGGTTTGATGTAATTTAGCAAATTACATTATACAGTAGTTAAGGTTTTTATGTAGTGAAGTAAAATGCATAGGAGTTAAGCACACTTACTATATAATGCATTGTAGAGTTACACGTTCCAGCTGCTGCCAGCTTTGTTCCAGTGTCATTATTGCTTTGCAGGCTGACGTTCCTCAGGGAGTGATTCGAGTACAAGCTCCCCATCTTTCGAAAGTTTCCATGGCAATACAGCTAACTGAAGAACTAAGAGCCAGTGATGTACTTGCCAGGTTTCTGAGCCAAGAAAGGTAGAGGCCTGTTTTGTGTTAATTATTCCATGCCATAACTCACTTGCTCTCTCTCTGCCCTTCGCTGCTGCTTTTTTTTTTAATTGTGGGGTAGTATGAAATGCTTAAAAATATTGTCTTCCCAGCAGAAGAGAACAGCAGACTTAGCCATTAGACTGTTGGAATGAGTTTAGTTCATTTGATGTGGTTTGTGTTCAGATGGAGCCTAATGCAAGCAGGATTGCTGAGCATTCCTTCACCGGGCCTAAGATGGGATTGCCAAGTGAGACCCCTCAATATTCTTTCCAGGATCTGTTGATTGGAGGCTCATTACTGTTTGTAGACTGTAAGGAAAATTGCTAATTAGGATGCAGTGGCATTTTAAAATAAAGACACAACTTTTTCTATAAAATATAATGAATTTTTAAATGCTCAAATTTAAAAGCAAAAATATATAAAGAATTAAAAGAGGACAGCCAGGCCTTTGAGTGCTGAAGTCTCAGGGGGAGAACATACCTTCCTCATTAGGGACAACAGGCCCTTCATCTATATTTTGGGGTTGACGGGGCAGGGAGGGTTGTCCGAAAGCTGGTAGCATCCCTCTCACTATATTAGAGTATGCCCCTTCCAAAACACTTTGCAGTGTCTTCTCTTAAATTTTAGAGATTCTAACAAGTATAATTGAATTTTCAGGTTTTGCCCTTTGAATTCTTTCTTTTAGCTAAAGTCATGTTTTTATGCCTCCTCTATAGACCTCATTTTCATTTATTGAAAGAAACTAAATGTTTAAAAACAGAGGGGCAGTGGCCGGGTGAGATGGCTTACGCCTGTAATCCAGTACTTTGGGAGGCCAAGGAGGGCAGATCACCTGAGGTCAGAAGTTTGAGACCTGACCAACATGGAGAAACCCTGTTTCCACTAAAGAAACAAAAAATTGGCCAGGTGTGGTGGCGCATGCCTATAATCCCAGCTACTTGGGAGGCTGAAGCAGGAGAATCGCTTGAACCTGGGTGGTGGAGGTCGCGGTGAGCCCAGATCGCACCATTGCACTCTCGCCCCAGCATCAAGAGCAAAACACCATCTCAAAAAAAAAAAAAAAAAACAAACAAAAAAAAAAAAACAGAGGGACATCCAGGTCATTGTCATTTTAGTTTATGAATACTCTGTCTTGGTCTTAATCTCCTCATTCTAACATTTGGGGGCTTCAGTCAAGCTTTCTGCCAAAGCCTCTCCAATTTTAATATATGGTACTAGAAATATTTAATATGTTTCTGTTTTAGCACAGGGCCTTAAACAGAACAAAAACATATTAAATACTTTTAGTACCATAATTGGAAGGGGAGATATAAACATACATTTTAAAGTACCTTCCCTCAGTGTTTATAAGTTGGGAGAAAGGATGAATCTGTGCAGCTAACAGATGGTGATGAAATGAGAGAGAGGCTCATTGGTAATATCCAGGCTTCAATAAACCAGAGTAAACTTCCCTCAGAACAGCACTCTGAAGTACGTGCTATTGTTACGTCTGTTTCACGGGTAAGAAAATGGAGATTTGCAAGGTCACACATTTTTCACAGGTGGTAGAGCTGGAATTCTAAGTCTGTGGTCTCACTCCAAAGGCAGTCCCTTAACCGTTCTCCACACTGGCTGGAGGATCTCAGAGCATCATAGATCTGGCAAGCACTAGTGTACAGTCTGAGAGTGACGGGTTTGGCGGGGATTATGTCCTGGGGGCAGTTGGAAGATCTCAGATGTCTCTGTCCCCTGCAGTGTCTCACAGTTTCTGCAAAGTCTGTCCACTTCCTCTCTGCTTCCTACTTTGACTTAGTAGATACCAGCCTTTGCCATTCTTCCTACCAGTCATGCTCTCATTCTTTAATGATGAATTTGTTGATTAACCTCACACAAAAGTCTGTGTATACTAGGAAATCTAGTTCCTGTTTCTTTAAAATGGAACACAGATACTTGAGAATCAATCTGAGAGCAATATCTAACTAGATTTTTTTCTTTAAATCAAGTCTCCTGAAACATTCAATTTGGCTTTCACAGAAACAGGGACCTTCTTTAGACCCATGGTTGATTGTGTATGTACTAGATTAAAAACAAAAATAATAATTATTAAATTATTTAATTTAAAAGATAAACCTACACCCTGGTTGGAAAAAAAGTGGATCAGATGCAGCGTAGCAGGTGGAACCTAGCGTGAGGGCCCAGACAGCCCTGAGTGTCCAGTTCCAGACCCACAGGGCAAGGAGAGAAAGGAGGAGAACCAGATGATCTGTTCCATGGGTGGTGAGGAGCGCTGCTGTCATACCATGTCCTTCCTCATGGCTTGAATACAAGCCAGACCTGATCTTCTCTTCCCTGTTCCAGAGAGTGTGTCTTCAGGCCCTTATCTCATTGGTCCACTAACCTTGCCATGCTTCAGGATCCACTCTAGATAATTTAAAAAGCAATTAGTTGGGCTTCATCCTAGACAAGTTACATCTGAGTTTCTAGAGCTCTCAATGTGAATTTTTAGCAGGTTTCTCAGGTTTCTTTTGCAGAAAGATTTGAAAGCCACTGAATTTTACCAATTTTTAAGTTTGAACCTAATGCTCTTGAACAGTTTATTCTTTGAAGAGTGTAAATCTTTAAACATGACCTGCTTGGTAAAAGTTCAGTCTTTGTAATGACATAATTTACTTCCACTCTGAGGGCCTATGCCACCCTCATTTGCACAGCCAACAGAGGAGCATGCTTATTCTTTTTTTTTTTTTTTTTTTTTTTTTTTTTTTTTTTTTTTTTTTTTTTTC